TCTCTCTCTCTCTCTCTCTCTCTCTCTCTCTCTCTCTCTCTCTCTCTCTCGGTTGTTGATTAACAAGACTTGCCTTTCAGTGTTAGGTTCTGTGATACTTCATTAAAAAAAATTCTCTTGTCTGTAACTTTACACACACACTCACACACACACACACACACACACACACACGCTGTATTAGAGTTCTATGCGCAACAGAAGCGATGTGTATATAGAGGGAAGGGATTTATGGCAAGGAGCCGGCCCTCACAGTCATGAAGGTGGGCAAGCCCAGACTCTGTGGTGTGGGTAGCAGGCAGATGCAGTTTTGGTTTCTCTCACTTGGTCTTTTTGTTCTATTTAGGTCTTCGATTGGACAAGGCCCACCCACATCATGGAAGGCAAACAGTCTTACTCCTAATTCACCAATTTAAATGCTCATCTTATTTTAAAACAGCCCCCGCCCACAAGTTGACATGTGAAATCAACCAGCACAGTATCACGTCAATACCAGGGAAGATCTTAATATTAATCAATTTGATGCTTTCCTAAAGAGCTTAGCTTGGTGTTGGTTAGAACAGGGTGAGTCCTTTTGCCGTGTACAGGTCTTTCCTCAGATTCCTGTTTTCTTCCTTTGCACCCTGGATCGTTCCCTAAAATAAGTGCATTCGTTCTGGTCTTCCCGCACGATCCCTTATTCCACACATTGGCTCTCAACTGACCTTCCTGCATGTCTAAAGTCATCACCAGCCTCTTGGAAGCTCAGTATCTGTCGTATCTTTGTTTCGTAGGGTGGCCACAGAGCTCCCCAGGATGGAGTTCGAGAACAGAGAGGAGCAGTTTTTGCATGAACACCTTTTCAGGCATTTCAAAGAAAACAAGGTGGAGATTGCGAGTGCAATAACCAAGCTGTTTCCTTTCCTCATGAGCCTCCGAGACCGCGCCTTCATCTCTGAGCAGATGTTCGACGTAAGTCAGGGGAATTTCCTCAGGACCGGAAACCAGCCCCACACTGCATGATGTCAGACTTCGGGTGGCAATGGGGACCTTTGCCATCCTGTCGGGAGGCAGTGGGAGAAGCAGGCATCACAGAAAATATTGCTTTTTCTGCAGTAACTGTTAGTGGGGAGGTGATGGGAGAGGGCAGGCTGGGGAGCAGGAATACTTCCTAGTGCAGAGCATCTTAGGTACTTTATGCAAATACTAACGCAAACTAAAGGTAGATTAAGGGACCCCAGCACTGCTTCATTGCAGGCCCTCTTTTAACCCTGGAGCATGAGATTTTTGCAACTCACAGGGCAACTTTAGAATAAATTTGGAAACAGACGCTTGCCGTTCTCTGTCCAAGTCATTTTCTGTTCTTTAGACATTTCTGGAGCTCCAGGTTAGGGTTAGCACTGGGTCTCCCTGGGGATGCTGAGGACAAGCTGCCTCTTTGTCTTAGAATCGTTCCTTGTCATTTGGCTAGGATCACACTAGGAGAGGGTGATCCCTGGTTTCTAGGAGGCTTTCGGGCCAGTCCAGTCCTGGGGGCAGAGCAGCGGTCATTGTCCAATCGCCAGAACATCTTCTCATGGTCTATAGGACACCCCCCACCCCCCGCAATCTGGCTCTTAGAGCCCCATACAACATTTGACTTTGGACACACTTTTATTCTTCAAAACGGCTCTCCTCTCAACTCTCAGCGAGTCAGGGTCCCAAAGCCAAGAGACTATTTTTATGTAAGAAGTCTCCAAACATGCAAAATACTTGCAATTCACGAGAGGAGGAACGGTCTAGGCACCCACCTAAGAGTCTTCGGTAATCCACAAATCCACAGTGACAGGATTCTCATTCCACGTTTTCCAGCATCTTCAAGAAGCCTGTAGAAACCTGGTCCCCGTGAACGCAGTGGTGTACACCGTCCTCAGTGAGCTGGAGAGGACCTTCAGCCTGTCGCTTCTGGACGAACTGTTCAGCCGCACCAATCTGACGGCCTACCCAGACTTGGTGGAGATTTCCAGAAGCTTCCTAAATGGTAACAAAAGCTCTCAGTGGGGTTTGGGGTTCAAGTCCAGTCACCCGTCATTCCCTCTTGCTGAGGAACCACGGCATGGACACAACGGGGAAGACACCAACCTGCCCTGTGTCCTCACGGAGCTCACTCAGGCCCAGTAACCCTGGGACTGACTTGGGGGCTGTGAAACAGAGGGGGAGGCATGAGCCATGCCCTTCCTTAGGAAGGAGGAAGCCCTCTCTGATGCCAAAAGACACACAGTCCTATGCCACCTGCTTCTCCTGGGAGAGAAGTCACAAGGAACAGCTGGTGAGAGCTTCAGTGTGTGGCAGGGAGGGAACACTTTCAGAACCAGGAGACTGCATCATGGAGGGTGGGTTTGGAAGCCGGTTTTGGAGGGCCTGATACACCCTGTGCTGAGGAATTTTAAATTTTGTTTTGTTTGGAAATAAGAAAAGCAATGAAGGATTTTTAAGTAGGAAACAAATCAGAAGTCAGTATGAAGAATGGAATGTGTTGGTTTGTGGGAACTATACCTTGATTTAAAATAAGAGCTACCTCATTTCCATACAATGATATATCCAACTCTAAGAAAGGGATAAAGGATATTGAATACCCAGGTACTGATTTTAAGTCAATATTCTGTTTTGTACCCAGTATCCTTCCAGTTCAAAGTTGCAGAGAGAACTGTGCATGTCTCTGTGGGCTCTGATCTTCTCTGTGTTAGCTTTCCTGTCACTGTGACAAAATACCTGAGATAAACAACTTAAATAGAAAAAAAGATTATTATTATTATTTGGCTCAAGTTTTTAGTCCATGGTTGCTTAGCACTGTGCCTTTGGCCTTTGGTAGGGCAGAACATTATGGTGGGGAGTTTATTAGCGAGCAAAGAGCTGCTTACCACAGGGTGGCTGGGAAGGAGAAAGAGAGAGAGAGAGAGAGAGAGAGAGAGAGAGAGAGAGAGAGAGAGAGAAGGGCCATCCATGGTCATGCCCCCACTGACCTAACTTCCTTCCACTAGGCCCCACCTCCTAAAGGTTCTACCACCTTCCAATAGCACCACAGCTGGTGATCAAGTCTTCCACACACAGCAGCCTTGGGGGACACTTAGATTCAAACCATCACACTCTCCATGGACTACAGGGAGCCCCCTCCCTGGCCCCTGTGCCCAGGTCTCCCGAGTTACAGGTCAGGGTTGTCAAGCTCCGCATCCCTGATGACTCACGGTGACGGAGTCTGTGTAAAGCTGGTGAGGGCTGGGTGGCTGGGATCCCTGAGCAGAGGTTGCAGGGAGATCCAGGGCTCTGCAGGTGTCCAGGGAGTGGATCAGGGCCTGGCACAGAGAGCCTCTCATTCAAAAGAGGATTCAGTCCCCAGACGGGGAAAGCAGAGACAATCGGGTGGAACCTGCCAGGTGGGATGCCAGGGCTCTGAAAGAAGAGAACCCAGAGGAAAAGCCGAGACACAGCAGGATCAAGAGGACCAAGGAGCAGGGCGGGGCAGGGACCCAGGGCTGTGGTTCCTCGTGGCGTGGAAGCAATAGCATGTGGCAGGAAGTGAGGAGAAGGAAGGCACAGGAACAAGAGCAAGGGAAACGGGGAGAGTGAGGCTCTGGGGGACCTTGGGTGGGGCCCTTGGAGAAGCTCACCTGTGCACTGAACACCAGAGTCGGCACCGAGGCCCGGGCTCCTCCCTCCTCTCTGGGTCTGGTTAGTCATTTCCCTGTTTTTCTTCAGTTTTCCGTGAGTGCCAGGCTCTCTGGAGTTGGAGTGGAGGCGAGGCTGAAATCACAGACAGACAGCATCCAGGTGTCGGGGCAGGTAATTATGATTTAAATCACCGACTAACTCACCGATGTGTTTGTCTATCTGTATGAAAGGGACATCTCCATCCTCCCCCCATCTCTCCCTCGCACAAACCCACTCCTGTGTTCACCTGTGGCTTTGTTCCCAGGTGTGTGGGAGGCAAGCTGGGGAAGGGGCTTCTGAGTGGAGAACCCAAGGACAGAGAGTAATAGACATGTAGACTACGGGCACCAAATGGAGTTTCCCCAGTAGCCCCCCCCCTTTTTTAAAAAATATATTTTTTAGTTGTAAACGTATCTTTCATTTCATTTATTTATTTGTTTATATGTGGTGCTGAGGATTGAACCCAGGGCCTCACATATGCCAGGCAAGTGCTTTACCACTGAGCCACAACCCCAGCCCCGCCAGTAGCCCCTTTTTAATCTAAACAAATAGAGAATATAAATGCAGTCAGGTGTCATTAATGATGGGGATATATTGTGAGAAATGTGATTTTAGGTGATTTCTTTCTTGTATGAACATCAGAAAGTGTACTTACAGCTGAGGATAGCTGCAGTGTCACCAGGAATCATTGTCACACATGAGGTCTGTCCTTGACTGAAATGTCAGGATGTGTTGAGTGATGACTAGCAGGAGGCAGATGGAGAAGAAAGGAATCATTTTAAACTTACTTGCTAGGAAGTGTTAGGAACAATGACATACAGAATATAGGGGGACAAGATGGAAGGGAGTTCAAAGAATAAACACGGAGATAATTGTGCCAAGAGGTAAGACTATCACGGAGGAAGAGAGAGAGAAATTCAGAGAGATGGTACAAGTCAAAAACAGGAAGGTGAGTCAAAGAGATCCACAAATAGCTTCATGGTACAGATGCAGTGGTGTGTGAAAACAGGGTTAGAATCAGAAAAAGGAGAGGTAGAGAGGAGGAGAAGGGGCCAGGGGGCCTAGAAAGTGCTAAAGGAAGTGAAATAGAACTGGGTTAGTGCCACACACCTTCCTCCCCAGCAGCGATGCACTGTGAACATCAGAGCCTCGCATGACCACATCCAGGCAGGTGTCCAGGTCACCATCAGCTACTAGTCACGTTCCTGTTTCTCTCCTCAGTGCCCCAGAAATATTCTCTACAAATGGATGAAGGAAGAGAATCAGAAGACATGCCCAGGTTACTACCTTATGATAGAGAAGGTAATAAGAATTTAAATTACCTGTTACCTAAAGTTTTATTTTTCTGTCAATATACATATATATTCTTTCATTTTATTTTCTATGCTTCCATCCACCTACCCATTCATCCATCTGTCCATCCATCCACCAATCCATCCATCCATTCACTCATCCATCCATCCACTAATCCATCCATCAACTAATCCATCCATCTATCCACCAATCCATCCATCCACTAATCCATCCATCCATTCATCCATCCATCCACCAATCCATCCATCCATCAATCCATCCATCCATTCACCCATCCATCCACCAATCCATCCATCCACTAATCCATCCATCCACTAATCCATCCATCCA